TAGTATTTACAAGAAAGCCAAACATGAAAAAGATTATTTGATTTCGAGCTTAAGAGTTAATAGAGATCTGAAGGCGGTGTATTGGCACTTTTCCAATCTTTAGAAAACGTTGAAAATACAATTTCCGCAAAAGATAAAGCGGATAATACATAAAAGTTGGAGAAATACGAGAAAAAAATATAGTTCGCGTGAAAGAATAAACAAATTCATTTAGCTCTGTCGCGACAGGTAGGTTCAAGAGCCGCAGCGAGGACCGCTCGTATTACAGGGAAGACGTATACGAGTTACCGTGGGTGTACCTCTCTCACAAAGTCTCGTCCGTGCCGGTGTGTCGGCGTTAATGAAACACGTCCACCGTTGGCAATTGTCCCGCCGCAGGCACGACAGCGGCCGTCCGAACGTAAAAGGAAGAGGCGCGAGCTGGTTGGCTGCTGTATTCCGCTCCGTTTCCATCAGGTTGCACCCAGCAGCCCGAGGTCCGGCTACTCTCCGGCGTTTCGTGAATTTAGATGAGCCCGGCCTGTCCGGCTTAATTCACGTGCACCTCATAAGAAGCGAGTCATAATCTCCCTTTCGCACGGCGCGCACGTTCTATATTTTTGTTTCGTTATTGGAGTAATGTCGCAGCCGGTGACCGTCGGCCGCTTTTTTCGGCCTGAAAATGTAACCGGTTCATTGCACGCGTCAGCTCGGCGAACGTAAAAATATAGCTCAAGCTCCCTGTGCCAGACTTTCCGTAATATTCATCGTGTTTATCGCGCTGCGTTTGCACGCACGATCGTACAAATACGAATAATTACGTAGTCGCGAACTATATCTTTAGATACGCGAAGTATATATTTTTGTTCTCTAAATTTTTGCGCGGAGATTTAACGCAACATCAGACGCGCGTATCATTTATCATACGTTATTATTCATTTTTCTTCTCTGTGTTGTCGTACGTGATATATTCATCGCGTCAATTCTTAATTGTCATGTATATCTCTGCATTAACTTCGCTGCATCGCCATTATAATAAAACGAGGAATACTTGATCGGATACCGGAAAACCCTCTTTTACATTACCTGTTTCGTCTGAGATATGAAAAGAGCTACATCTACCGTAGAAAAATGCCTGCGGAAAGCTCAGGTCACGTACAACGGCGCGATAACGTAGTCGCTCTTCCTATTCTTCGTCTTTCTCTTTCTTCCTCTCACTTCCTTTCGCGCTCATCCCCCTTTCGTTTTCTCATTCAAGACTGTTCGTTCTCCCCGCCCGTATTCAAAGTGCAAGGAGCAAAAGGAAAGAGCGCGTGCACAAAGATCACATGCCGCCTAGATTGAGGCTGCAGGGTAAACGTTCGTGTTCCCTCGTACTCTTTTGCTTCTGGGCGTTCTGTCTCTCCTCCACCTTCGAATCTCCGGCTTGCTCTCTCGCTTTGAGCAAATCTGCGTGAAAATGGGAAGAACGTCTAGTACGAATCATGCTGGAGGGATAGCGAAAAGTGTGTACGTTGAACGTGCGCCTATACGTGCACGAGAGAGGGCATAAGTGAGAGAGAGAAAGAGAGAGAGATAGATAGATAGATAGATAGATAGATAGATAGATAGATAGATAGATAGAGAGAGAGAGAGAGAGAGAGAGAGAGAGAGAGAGAGAGAGAGAGAGAGAGAGAGAGAGAGACGACGA